GTTGCTTTTGCTAGGTTTCCAGGGGACTGGGGGAACCGCCCGGGGCGGTTTGCACTGCCCGGCCCCTTTAAGCCGACAGAGTAAGAACCCTTCTAGGCAGAGCCTAGGTAGGGAAATAGTTGTCCGTCGTTGCCCAGGGGGGCTATTAAGGATCTTTCATGGGGTTCTTGTCGACTTGTCTCGGGTGAGACGTTGATCTTGAAGGGGGGGCGCCAGGGCCCGTTTGCGAAGAGATTGCTGGAATGTTTATGGCGGAGTGCCCGTTTTGACCCCCCGGCGTCCTTTCAGAACAGATTGTGAGGATGTCGTGAGCGAGGCGCCGGCTTCAGCAACCCAAGGGGGGGGGCGCCAGGGAGCAGATTGTGAGGATGTCTCGACCGAGGCGTTGGCTTCCGCCCCCCAAGGTGGATCTGCCAGGGAGCTTGTGCCGAGGATGTCTCGAGCGAGGCCCTGGCTTCAGCCCCCCACAGCGAAGCCGCCAAGGGGCAGGACACTCGCCCGTCCGCTGCCAAATTGTGGGTAAGTCTCGATCGAGGCGCTCGCTTTACACTTCAGACTCCTGTCCATTCAGAGCCCCATGATCACCTCGATGTAGGGAAAAGGACGGCCGCACGGAGGAGCGGGAAGGACGGAGGAGGAATCAGGAGGACGCAAGAGGTGGGAGGGGCTGTGGCGAGGAGGAAGAGGCAGGAGAGGGGATGGGGCCGCCAGGAAGGGGGGGGGCCTTTGCCAGGGAGGAGGAAAAGGAGGAAGAAGGAACACGCAGGAGGCGGGAGAAGGACTGCAACCAGGGAGGACGAGAGAGGACGGCTGAGGAGGGATGCGGATCTCGAAGGAGGGAAAAATGAGGAAAGAGGGAGAGTACGATGAAGAGAAAGAGGAAGGAGAGGAAAGGGACATGCTCACCGCCTGTTTGTGAGTTGTTGTCAGCGTCGCTGCACCTCATCGTACGTTCGGACCGAGGTATAAGATCGAGGTCGTTTCGGGGAGGGTGCCCGACTGTTCTTCGTATGTGTTGGATGCTCGTGTGCATCCTGGACAGGGTATCCTTGGATGTTCTGTGTGCTTTGGCTGGCGGAGGGTCTCAGGTTCTTGAAGGATGGTGTTATGTCCTAGGTCCAGCCGCATCCGCAGCCGTCGTCGTCGTTGTTGTCGTCGTACCCGTCATCCACCTGAACTCGCTCTCACACCCAGACGCCGCTCAACACTCACAGCGGGACATGCAAAGAAATGGTATGCATGTATGGGGATCCCCGCGTCGGGTAATCTCATTCCTTATTTACTTGCGGCCCGTACGGCCCGTACGTGGCGATGAGGTCGGGGCGGAGAGCCCACAGAAGACCACATAAACTCTGCAGGGAAGTCGACAGGCATTCGGCGCAACCGAGCGTGCCGTCGACACGGTGGCGGATCTTGACATGCGTCCCAGTGCATGGGGTGCGTGTGGCTGTATTTTCTCTTCTTTTGCTCATGCTGTGTGTTCCGGGCAAGGCAGAATCCGACGAGTACGCGGGCAGACCCGACGAGTACCAGCTGATCAATTATTTGGTTGCCTACGGCGAGTCCCGCCCTGTGTCTTCCCAGCACTCTGGGTGGCACCTGTTCGACGAGCGAACAGGCAGTCGTGGCGTGTGACTTCTCGCTTCTCGAGGCTTGGGAGGGCTGTAAGATGCGACACGCTCGTCCGCGTCGTGTCGTGGTGTCTCCCTTCGTGTTTGTCCTCGCCTTCCTGTCGATGCCTCTTGTTGGCGTCTTGGGGGCCTCTCGGGGCATCTTGGGGCTCCTTGGGCAATTTGGCGCGTTGGAGGTCCATCTTTGGAACCTCTCTAGGCCGTCTTGAGTGCCATCTTGGGGCCTCGTTGGGCCGTTCCTGGGGTGCCTTGGACGCCTCCTGCCTTGGTCATCTTGGGAGTCGTCATGGGACCCTCCCGGGGGCCTCTTGGACCGTCTCGGGCCATCATTTAGGTCTTGTGGGCTGTTCTGGGGCCCGCGGAAACAACATTAGTGGTTTTGGCAATTTTCAGTCCCTCCTTGAGGTTCTCTTGGACAGTTTTGGAGGCCGCCCTGGGCCATCTTGGGCCGCCTTGGGGACATGTTGGGCTATCTTTGTGGTCTGGTTGTGTTCCGTCGCTGTCTTGGAAGCCCTTGGAGAGGCCTCGGGAGTTCCAGGGAGGTTCCGGCGAGGCCAAGGGAACCTTCTGGAGGAAGGGTGATGCATGCGAGGAAGTGCGGATACCCTTCCTCATCCTCCTCTTCCTCGTCTTCCTCGTCCTCCTCCTCTTCCTGGCGGGTAATTCGGCCTCCTGGGAGGCCTCTTGGGGCGCCTTGGAGGCCTCTTGGGGTGATCTTGGGCGTATTTGGGCGATCTTGGGCTGTCCCACCGCCACCCCTGCCTTTTGGAGACACCGATGTGACCAAACGTTGGCAGATTTATTGCCAAGCTATTGCATTATGTGTCTCGCAACCGTTATGGGAACCCTTGGTGGACCACTGGGAAGCTGAGGAGGAGGACGAGGAGGAGGACGAGGAAGAGGAGGAGGAGGAGAGGGAGGAGAAGGAGAAGGAAGGAGAGTCCTCTTTTGGGCCTCTTGGGGCCTCCTGAAAGCTTCTTCGGGAACTCTTGAGGCCTCTTGGAAGCTCCTGGAGCCTGTTTGGAGGCCTCTTGGGACGTCTAAAGAATCTCTTGACCTTCGGAGGCCGTCTTGGATGCTTCACTGGGCGGTATTGGCCCTCTTTGGACGCGTTCGGGCAGTCTATCTACCACCCCGATGTCTCTGGAGCAGTCTTGGGGCCGTCTTGCGGCCGTCTTGCGGGCATCCTTGCCCGTCTTTGGGCCCTCTTGGCCAGTCTTTGGGGCTTCTAGGGCTGCCTGGGACGCATCTTGGAGGCCTGAGCTGTCTCTGGCTGTCGGATGCCCTAAAGGGCGAGAATGGAAACCATTCAAACACATGGGAAAGATCAGTGATGCTGGCTCCTTTGGGGCCGCCAATAATGCCTTTGAAGCCATATTGGGCAGTCCTGGGAGCCTCTTGAGCTGTCTTCGGCTGTCTTGGAAAGCATCTTGTCGACCATCTTGGGCTCTTTTTGGTGCCATCTTGGTTCTCCTGAAGACGTCGTGGGACCGTCGTGAAGGCGATCATGGGCCAGCAAAGCAAACTTGGAGGCAAGGTTTCTTGAGTTTGCGACTTTCACGGTGCCTTTGCGTATCGCGCGAGCGGCCAGCGTGATGTTGCGCCGGAATACCGTGGTGAACCGTTTGAAAGGGCCCAAAAGAAGGCGATATGTATTACATCTTGCCACGTCCAGCGTTCCTCGGCAAGCAAAACAGACTGCAAATACCCATCAAAAGCGTCTGCAGCGAACCACCACCAGTGGCCAAACATTTGGCCGAATTCTTGCAAAGCCATTGGACTACGCGTTCCTCGAGACGTTGTGGACACCCTCGGGGAAACACTTGGGGGAGAAACAGAGAGAGGAGGATGTCAGGGAGGAGATGGAGGAGGAGAAGGTGGATTAGGAGGAGGCCTCCCAGAGGGCTTCTTGGGGGCCTATATGTATTCGCATGCCGTCTTTTAACCTGACAGGGCATCCTTGAGGCCCTTTTGTAACGCTTCCGGGCCGTCTTGGAGATCTAAGGCCGTCTTTAGACCTTCGTGGGGCCCTCGTGGGCGAATCTTAGGCCGTCCTGGAGCCCTCTTGGCCCGTCTCGGGGCCATCTCTTGGTGGCTTCTGAGGCCGTCTTGGGGCTGTCTGGGGTCGTCTTGGGTTGTCTGAAGCCGAAAGGGCGATAACGCGGGAAATCCTTGACATTGACACTGATTTGTCGGGGCTCAAAAGACGGGCGTCAATTCAAATGGGGGTCAGTCAGAGCACCAGATCTTGCAGGATCTTGCAGGGCCAGGGGCGCACTAACCCTGGTTTGGGCGCAGAATCCTGCAGGATTTGGCAGGGTCCTGGAAGGCTTGATTGACCCAGGTTTGCATTGAGCCGGGTCAGTAGATCTCCGAATTGGGAGTTCTTTGTGCACATTTTAGGGACCCTTGGTCCTGTTGGGCCGCATGGGGGGTCCTTTGCTCTTGAGGGCATCTTAGGCCGTCTTGGGTCTTTACTGTGTCGTCTTGGAGACAGGGCTCCTGTGATAATTGCATTGTATGAGGCTTATCACTTGTCCCATCGGGGGTTCGACCAGGGGTGTATCACGGGGTTGCTCGCGTCCGAAATTGTAGGCACTCTCATGTAGAACGCCTGTTTCGGCTCCTCAGACTCCTCTCGTTGCAGAACATTTTGAGCACCGTGTCGTAGCAGGCAAATCATTAGGGCACCCCAAACCGAAGTCGTCCAGGGGTGTATCTTGGGCCCGTTCGCGTCCAGATGTTGTGCCCACTCTCATGTAGAACGCCTGTTTGGACACCCCAGACGAATTTCCTTTCAGAGCCTCACAATCACCGCGATGTAACAGGCGTTGCACTTGCGCGCTCCCAGGGGTAGTCGACCAGGGGTTTATCCAGAATCCTTTCGTGTCCAGGGTTGCGTTCGTTCTCGAGGCGACCCCTTGTGGGCACCCCACACTTCTCCCCTCTCAGGGCCTCAGGATCATCGCGATATAGGATGCAAAGCACTTTGGCACCTCAAGGGAGAGTCGACCAGGGGTATATCATGGGCCAATTCGCGTTTAGAGTTGTGCTCATTCTCAGGTAGAGGGCTCGTCTTGGCACCCCAGACTCTTCTCCTTTCAGGGCCCCATCGTCATCGCGATTATGCAGGCAAAGCACTTGGGCTCCCCGAGGGGGAGTCGGCCAGTGGTGTTTCACGGGCCTCACGGCCCACATACCCAGACTCGGTTACAGACAGATCCACTCGATCTCAGTCCCAAAACCCCGCTCATATTCACACATTCATGCGCAGGAAACTCGTCAGAAAAGATCTGCGAACCTGGGTATTCCGCGTCGGATACTTCGAATACAACAACGAAAGACGCGCGGGGCGTCCCCGAACGCGCCCGGGACAGCCCAGAATTACGCGGTTTGGGCCCCCTCGGACAGCATTTTCAGCACTTGAGAATTCGAAGTGGCTTGAAGACTCCTTTCGGTGCCTCGCGGCACGTTGGCGGACATTCTCTTGTTCAAGGGCATGCAGTTTCTCACCTCAGGCTTATCTGGAGGCCTCCGGCCGTTCCCGCCATCGTTCTTGCGGGGTCTCAAAGGAGCCTCGGGCCCAGCCCAAAAAGCAGCTTGAAAGGGCGGAGGCATTCTTGCAAGTCGGGCTCCCTGTTTAGAGTCTGCAGCATGTCTACCTCTCCCAAATGTATGAGCTTTGTGCTACTCCACTGCGTGCCGCAGGTACGGTGGCGGATTAGCGATGGCACTAGGATCCGCCAAGTATTTTGCTTGCGTCTCGTTTCATAAGGAGGTTCTTTCACAGTGCGTGGACGAGAGGGGCCCCGGTGCCGGAGATGGTGTCGGTCAGGGCCTGGACTATCTCCTGAGCGTCGTGCTGGTGTGGATCGCGTTCGGGATGCTGCCGTACTCGCGGAAGCACGTGCCTGAGGTGACGGAAGACGTGTTGACTTCCAAGAGGACCACCCCTGCTTCGGACACGGCCGGCCCTGGTGGGCGCCTGCGGAAGCTCCTCTTCTACGACGTGAAGTGTTTTGTGGCGTCGTTCCTGGTGTTGTTGCTGCTCACGGCCTGCCTGTGCGCCGGCCACTTCGAACAGGGGGGCTCATTGAGGAGCCTGCGGACAGACCCGCAGTTCTGCGCGAACGTTTTCTGGTGTTGCGTGATGTACTCGCTCATGTCCCTCCCGTTCGTGGCTTTTTCGATCCCAGGCTGGCAGGCGGTGCTGGTCCACAGCGACCCCACCGGCTTCAACGGGCACGGTGCTTGCGTCGCACTCACGCTGCCGAACGCACAGACGACGACAACCGAGGCGGAGGACGACTCCAAGGCTCCAACCTGGATGAGGCTCGCGACCAGCGTCGCGCAGCTGATCGAGGCGGGCCGCCGAGCGCGTGCCTCCAGTGGACCCGACGCCGAGCGCGGCCTCGTCAGCGACCTCCGCGCAGGCATCTGGGAGTCCCTGCCGGCGAGGCCACGGTGGACTTGGCGCAGTGGCGGCGGTGACGGCGCCTGCGACCTCGCGCGACGGGACATCTTCACGCCGCGTCGCGACGTCTTCACGCCGGAGTGCTCGGTGGCTGTCGCCTCGGCCAGGATCAGCCACGCGCAGCCTGGGGGGGGGAGGTGGGAGGGCTGCTTCAAAGCACACCTGCTTCTGAGAAGGCACGGGCCTCATCAGTAGATGTGAGGCCGGCGCCTTCTAAGCAGCAGTCCCCTCTGAGAAGCTTTCCCCCCTGCCTCCACCCCACTTGTGCTCGTCGTTCACGGGGCGCCTCTCGGGAGTCGAGCGATGAGGGCGCGATCCATCGGGGGGTGAAGACAGGTGCACCTTTTATTTGTGACCCAGGGGCGCTCAGGAGGCCGGGCCCGGCTCTTCTGGCAGGGCTGGGTGCAGAGACGCCTGCCCGACTTCTCCGATCAGGGGCTCCTCCTCCTCCTCCTCCTCATCATCACCATCGCAAACGCTGCGCGACGCGCGTCGTGTCTGCTGACTCCCTGCGTGGCCGCCGCCCGCGGCCGCGCCCCGAGAGGGATCCTCCTCCTCCTCCTCCTCCTCACCTTTTGTGGCCCAGGGGGGCTCATGAGGGGCATGAAAGGTGCACGCTTATCATCCCCCTTTTTTTTAATATATATATATATATATATATAAAAAGTAATAAAAAAAAAAAAAAAAACGCTTATCCTCCCCCTCGACGCTGCCCACTGCGTATCACGCCCGAGCCTCGGCCAGGATCGTCGGCGCGGAGCGCGTGGGCTCCGTCGCCTACTTCCGCATCGAGTGCGTGGCCGTGGACGCGGGCAGCCTGGACGCGGAGGGGGGCGGGCTCCCGTGGCAGGTTGGCGCCGCGGGGCGCGCGGGGGCTCCCAAAAAACGGTACGCCTTGGGCGATGCTTGAGGAAACTTACGTTTTCGGCCAGGGCCTCGATGATTCTCCTCCCCCTCCTCCTCCCCCTCCTTTTCTCGTCCCTCTCCTCCTCCCCCTCCTCCCCCTCCTCCTCCTCCTCCCCCTCCCTCTCCGCTTCGCGCTTCGCGGTCCTCGTTTCTCCTCCCCCTCCTCCTCGTCCTCCTTTTCTCCCTTTGGGGGGGCGGCGCGAGGGCGCGAAGTTATTCGCGCTCTCGCGCAGCGCGAAGCGCGAACTTGGGAGCCCTAGCTTGAGAAAACTTAAGTTTTCGGCCAGAGTCTCGATGATTCTTACTGTTCCAGTGTAAATCTTAAGATTTTGATGGAAATGTTGGGTTTCTGTGCAAGTTCTGAGACTGTGAATGTCTTAGCCCATGATTTCTTGAGCATTTCGCAGGGTGTATTTTTTTGCTGGGCGATCTCGTCGTGGACCTGAGCCTCCCGGGGGGGGCCCGACTCCCGCCTGCGGGGAGCAGACAGCGTGCTCCGTGTCAGCTTTACCTTCGCTTGTGCAGTGGAGCAGGAGGTTATGATCATGACACTCGCTGGTCGTTGCAAGCGGGCATTTCGGGATCCCCAGATCCCAATCTTCTTTGGGCGCCTTCCTACTTCAGGAGTCGGGTGGCTTAACCTTTTCCGTCCTCTTCAGGGGGCGGGCTGAAAGCCCACCTATTTCCAGCGCCGTCCTACTTCATGGTTCCACCTACTTCCGACCGACGGGTAATGATACGTTCCCGGATTTCCAAGGTTCCCAGGGTTCCCCACAGTTCCGAATGTTCCGCGCCGGCTGCGCCGCCAGATACTTTGGAAATCCTAGAACGTATCCCGAGCCAATCTTATCATGACTTGTCGCCCCAGTTCTGTCTCCGTTCCGCCTCTTTGCTGCAATACGAGATCAGAACGAGCTCACGAGAGGCCTCCCAGATTGGATCCGAGTAGATGGGGTTGGAAGATCGCGCATCGCCGATGCATCGCCGACGTTGGCAGGGAGAAGCCGGGCTCCACATCGATCCGCATCGGCGATGCGGCGCGATCCTCCGACCCCATCGACTCGGACACCATCTAGGAGGCCTCTCGTGAACAGGCTTCGTTCTGTCCCCGTTTGCAGCGAATGGGCGGAACCGAGGCAGAGCCTGGGAAAACGAAAACAAGACGAACACAGGAAACATGGTTTAATTCCCGCCCGTGTCGGGGAAACGTAAGTGACTCGAGTTCGCCTGAACTCGGGCTTGCCGACTCTTCTTGACGCGTCGGTCAGGGTATCGACGGTCCAGTTTGCGTTGGATGTTTGCAGCGGGAGTTCGCGCCAACCTGCAGACTGGGTCTCGTCATTCTCCTGACGGCCCCGTCGGGCCAACCCCGGCCCCCCGAACCCGAGTTTTATCGGGCCCGGCGAAAGGGGGGGATTGGGAAAGGGGGGGTTACGAAATTTGCTGCATGCAGCTGGTTTTGGCCTCACCGAGGGGCCCATTCCTCGATACATAGCCGCCTTCGGCGCCGGGAGGCGCCGGGAAAATCAGCTACGTGAGCTGATTCTCAAACCCCCCCTTTGCTATCCCCCCCTTTTGCCCGACCCGAGTTTTACGCCTCCCCGCCCCTGAGAGGTGCTGCGCCGCTACGCCCAGTTCCGGGCCCTCTCCGCCCAGCTGGGGCCCCCGTGCCTCGGCTACGCGGACGCGCGCTTCCCCGGCAGGCAGCTGCTGGGCTGTACGACGGGCCGGCTCGAGGAGCGGCAGCGGGCGCTCGAGCTGTGGCTGCGCCGGGCGCTGGAGGACCTCACGAGCGGCGAAGGCAGCCCTGCCCGCGCTCGCCTCGGACCTCCTCGCGCCAGGGGGAAGGGCCACGGCGGACGGCTGTCCGCCGTTTTTCTGTCTTCGGCGTGTGGGGGCCGTTCGAAGCGACCGCGGGACCGTCAAAGTCAAGAGGCGGGCCCCAGGAGATGGGTCGGGAACGTTGGAGGTCGAGGTCATCAAAAGGTAGCATCGGGGTCTGGATCCGCGCCCTCGCAGTCTGCCTTCCCGGGGCGCAGCCCCGCTGCTGCGCGGTCCCACGGAGATGCTGTGCGCGGGGCATCAGCGAGAAAACGCTCCGTATCCGCGGGGTCGCGGCCCAGGGCCCGCCGGCCCGCGAGGCCGCGGATATGGTGTGGCGTTGCGAGGGAAGAAAGGTGTTTTGTTCATCACCTTGGGGGCCCTAAAGGGGCCCTCTGGGTCCCAGACGTGGCACGAAGGGTGCATGCTTCTCCCCCCCCTCCCCCCCTGTCCCCTCCGTTAAGCAACGCCCGACACGGAAGGATGAGCAGTTCTCCAATGTGACCCCTGCATCTTTGCCCTCTCGGCCCGTCCCTGGCGACTCTCGCTGGCCCCGCTCGAACACGCCAACCTGGCCCTCCGAGGCCTTGCATTCTTACTGCGCACCCTTCTTGTGCGACTCGACCGCATGCGCAAGGGCGCCCTCGAGAGCGCGAAGTGATTCGCGCTTCGCGCTTCGCGGTTCGGCTCCGATTCCTCCTCGTCCTCCTCTCTTCCCTCCTCGGAGGCGGCGCGCGAGAGCGCGAAGCTATTCGCGCCTCGCGCCTTGCACAGCGCGAGAGCGCGAAGTTGGGAGCCCTTGATGCGTTTCGCCCACGAGTCAGGAGGAAAAGAAACACACAGACACAATTAATTGCCGATTTCCCAGGAAAATATGGGAAAATATGTGAAGTGGGGGGGAAGACAGAAACCCAGAAAATATGGGAAAATATGGGGACTAATTTTATTTGTGTGTATTTATTTGTGTGTCCTAATTTCCCTTTAGACTCGACCGCATGCGTCTCGCCCACGAGGACCCGCGGAGCCACAATTAATCGTCGATTCCCAGGAAAATATGGGAAAATATGGGAAAATATGGGGACTAATTTTATTTGTGTGTATTTATTTGTGTGTCCTAATTTCCCTTTAGACTCGACCGCGTGCGTTTCGCCCACGAGGACCCGCGGAGCCAGGGCGCCTGGGCCGGCTGCCTGCGGGCCTTCTTCGACCCCGGGGGCGCCGAGTACAGGTGGCACCGAATTTCAGAAATGTGGCAGATTCCATGTGTTTTTGGACCCTGACCCCGCGGATCCGCGTGAGGGGTGTCGATTTCGAATGCGTTTCGCCCACGAGGACCCGCGGAGCCAGGGCGCCTGGGCCGACTGCCTGCGGGCCTTCTGAGGCTTCTGAGAAGTTTCTGGTCTTCTGAGAGGGCTTCTGAGAAGTTCTGTCTGTATTCGAAATAGGCCAAGGAAACGTCTCAGAAGCCCCCCGGACTTCTAAGAAGTCCCGCGGCCTTCTGAGAAGGCCTTCTCCTTCTCATTTCCCCCCTGGGCTCGTCGCCTAGTTTCGCCCACGAGGACCCGCGGAGCCAGGGCGCCTGGGCCGACTGCCTGCGGGCCTTCCTCGACCCCGAGAGCGCCGAGTACGCGGCCTCGCCGGCCAACCTCGGCGGGGCGCCGGCCGACCTCGGCGAGCCGGCGGGGCCCGCGGCGGAGGCCGCGTTGGAGGCGGGCACCGTCAGAACCGATGCCATCCCTCCCGCCGTCCCTCCCTCCTCCTCCTCCTCTTCCTCCTCCTCCTCCTCCTCCTCCTCCTCCTCCTCCTCCTCCTCCCACTCCTCCTCCTCCTCCTCCTCCTCCTCCTCCTCCTCCTCCTCCCGTCTCCTCCGGAGGAGAACAAACACACAGACACAATTCATCCTCGATCCCCCAGGAAAATATGGCGAAACATATGGGAAGTGGGGGGGAAGACAAGAGCCCAGAAAATATGGGAAAATATGGGGAAACTTTTTACTTGTGTGTATTTTTATTTGTGTGTCCCGGGGCCCCTTCAAAAGTTGGAGGCGGGCGGCCCGCCAAAGCTGGGGCACCGTCAGAGCCGATGGTGGGGAGGGGTGCCTTCCCAAAGGGTCCCCGTGCAGCCTCGCCTGTCCGGTCCACCCCTCTAACCCTTTGCGACGGCCAGCCCCGCTGGAAAAGCTTCGACATGGGTCACCACCCACCAAACCACCCCAACCCAACCCGAAGGTCTCGATTTGCCCTCCATTTCCAGTGGGGGGGGGTCGGGGAACCTCGAGAAAACACATATGGAACCCGTACCCCCCCCAACCCGAAATTCGGGTCTTCGGGTTGGGTTGGGGTGGTCTGGTAGGTAGTCAATGGGCGTCAGCATCCTTATCGCTGAACCTTACTGTCAGTTTGACTGTCGGTTCGTGTTTGGCAATTCGGCGGCGCGCGCAAGGGGAAGGCGCGAGGGGTCAGCCTTCTCAGAAGGCGGCGCACTTCTTCTCGGAAGGCAGGGGCCTCCTTAGGAGCGCCTGGAGGCTTCCGAGAAGTCTTCTCAGCAGCCGGGAGGACTTCCAAGAAGGCTCTCGCCTTCTAAGAAAAAGTGCGCCGCCTTCTAAGAAGGCAACCCCCTCGCGCCACCCCCTTGTGGGAGCCGCCAGCGTGTGGTGTCGTCGCGGCGGTGCCCCAGCCGCGGGCGTTCAATGAAGGACAGAACAATACCCACGTAGGTCGAAGAGCACATACAGCATAAACAACAGTTGTCGGAATTCTGCGCGGATTTCTTGGATCGGCGCTTCCTGCAGCGCCCCTGGCGCGCTCCGCGCTAGGAGGGGAGCCCAGCGCAGATCCAAGGTATCCGCGCGGAACTCCGAACGTTTATGTTTACGCAGTTTGTTCTTCTCTTAGTAGGGGCTCATCTGGGTGCCGTCACTTCTTAGAATATGGACCCCATGCGGCGTTTCGAATGTCGGACTTGCAGGGGTAGGGCTCACATGTGGTTGCCCACCACAGGGGATGGGGCGACGGGTGCGGGCCTTTTGAAAAGGCGGACTGCTTCTTAGAGGCCCCCCGCCCTCCAGGAAGCCTCCGTAGAGTCGTAGAGGCCTGCCTGTCCTCTCTAATTCCCCGCGCTCCCTCCGTCCAAAGTTCGGGCCGGGCGAAAGGGGGGGATTGGGAAAGGGGGGGTTACGAAATTTGCTGCATGCAGCTGATTTCGGCCTCACCGAGGGGCCCATTCCTCGATACATGGGCCTCCGGCGCCGGGAGGCGCCGGGAAAATCAGCTACGTGAGCTGATTCTCAAACCCCCCCTTTGCTATCCCCCCCTTTCGCCCGACCCGAAAAGTCCGTTCAAAACAGGGGCCCATAATCCTCCTGGGGGGTCGAGCCAGACCTCTCGGAGCTGCGCCCCGCCGCGGCCGCGAGTGCCCTGCCGAGGGCCCCGAAGGGGCGCAGCAAACACGCAGAGCTCGGAGGCCGGACCTCCCGCGGCGAGTCCGTGTCGTGTCGACGCGGCGGAGGCGTCCGCGCGGAGGCTCAAGCTGGAGCCTCGCCCGTGGCCGTGGAATCGGCCGACGTCGAAGCACCTGCGCAATCGGAGCCGCGATCGCCCAAGACCAAAGAGACATCGGAAGCCGCGTCGCCGCGAGCGCAGTCAGAAAGCCGCGGTCGCAACCGGCAAGCCGTGACGTCAGGGACCAACGCCGACGTCTCCGCAGCGTGGAGTTGCCGCAGGAGCCCCCCTGGAAGAGAGGGGCTCCCGAGGGCGGCGGGGCCCTTGGCCCTGGGCTTCTCCCCGGGGCCAGCCCTCCATGCTGGGTCCCTTGCGGCGGCTACACAGGGTATGGTTACAGCTTGCAGTCAACCCACATGGGAAGGATGAGCGACGCTCCAAGTCTACCCCTGCATCCTTCCCCTTCGGCCCATCCCTGGCCGCTTTCGCTGGCCGCGCCCCGCTCGCAAAGTGTCGACACGGCCTTCAAGGCCCTTGCATCCTTATCCTGCGTCCTTGTTATACGGGTTGACTGTACGCCGGGGTGTGGCTTGCGATCGGCATCGTCAGGGCCTGGGGAGCACCGCACTGTCCTCGTCGGGCCTCTCCGGGGCGCGGCGGAGAGCTCTGTCGAGGACTCCCCAGGGTGCCCCCCAGGGTGTCGGTTGCGAACCACGATCTGTGCAAGCCGCACCCTTCGGAGTCGCCGACCTTTTCTGACATGAGAGTCCGCAGGGGCCGATGGACGGCAGCAGAAACGCCGCGACCCCAGGAGGCGCTTCCTACGCGCCAGGCCTCCCCTTCTGGAAGCCGTCGTTCTTCGGATCCTGGCGAGGTTACTGGCAAGGCAGGGGGGGGGGGGCGTAGCGAGGCCCGAAAAGGAGTCTGGACTTCATGCAAGCCGGGACTCGCGTGCACGCCTTTTCGGCCCAGCGTTGCATGGAAAGGCGGCGGAGAGGCCATGCAAGCAAACCAGCCTGAGTCTAGAGACAAGCGCCCTCCGCAATGGCACGCCCGAAGGGCACGGAGAAAATGGGCACGATGCCCAACAGCAAATGTTGCCCACCACCGACAGTAGTCGTTGTTGGACAGGCGATTCTCTGTCTCGAGCGGACATCGCCCGCGGCGACACCGACAGCGAGCCCCGTTCCAAATGCACAGCGAACTCCCGTCGGTCTTCGCATGGCAGGTTCGCGTCGTGTCGACTGGCGGCGACCCCGCCGCTGGCGCGTTCAACGTCGAACGCCGCGGGCGACCCAGAATCGGTCGATGCTGAACGACCTGACGCTCCTGAGACGGCCGATCGTTCACGTTTGAGCGATCCCCGGGGTGTCAGAAACCAACGCCTCGGCACGACACGAAGTTGCCCCTTCCTCGCCGAGCGCGTTCCGCTACTCGCAGAGCGCGCCCAATCGCAAACGCCCGAACACAGACATGCTTGCCTCGATGTAGTGCATCGGAAATCTCTCGCGGCGGATCCGAGCCATCTGCGAGCAACTCCTCTGCGAGTGGTGGAGCGCGCCTGCCCGCCTCCCGTCGCGCCGACTCCGTGGGCGCGCCGCCGAGGCCGAGCAGCCCGCGCCCCCGGACCCCGGCGCCATGGTGCCCGCAGCGGCCCCGCCGCACCCGGAGGGCGAGGCCGGGCCGCGGGCGGCCGGGCGCCCGCAGGAGGACCCGCCTGGGCCTGCGGGTCGCCGCCGCCGCCACCTCGGCCCCCCCTGGCGAGGCTCCCGGCCTCCCGGCGATGCCCCCCAGAAGTCATCGGAGCCCATCTACAGGCAAGGAAAGGGTTTCTCCTAACGCCGCCTCACGGTCCAATGCCGCATAACAGGAGGATTTGTGTGAGCGATGGTTGCGCTTCGGATGCCCACACCCATGATGAAAGATCGACCCATTTTGACGGATCGGCAAAAGTGCATCCTGCGTCCGCAATGCGAGCGCACGTCGCTAGTCTCCCCGTTAGGGACGTGGAGCCTGGTACGGTGTTACGGGGGAGGTGCCTCGCTTTCGGGGCGGAGGACAACCTGGGGTTTTGTACCTGAATCTTTTTTTGCGACAGAAGGGATGGCGGTTCGAAAACGGCAAACCGTGCGGGACATCCTCACAAAAATGGTTGTCTCAACGGTTCGGACTTGGTTCGAAACAATAGAATCCCGTTTGAAACAAAAGCAACATGAGCATTTCGCGTTAGGGTTCATTTAAAATGCGGCGTCTGACCAGGTTCGAAACAAAAGGATTGCGATTCGAAAATGGGAAGTCGCGCGGGACATCCTCACACAAATTGTTGTCTTGACGGTTCATGTTCGGTTCGAAACATTAGAAGTTGGTTTCAAACATTTCGAGCACGAGCATTTCGCTTGGTACTTCTTTCAAAATGCGATTGGAACTTGGTTCTGCACAGTGGGATGCCGTTTCCAAAATGCCAAACCGCGTGCGGCATCTTCGCCAAAATGGTTTCGAAGAGAAATGGGCTCCGAACAAGAGAAGTGGGCTCTGAACAATTGTAAAACGAGCGATTCGCTCGAGACGTCCTTGGAAATACACTCGGAATATGTCCCCAAACAGGTCGCAAACAAAATAATCGCGCGGGACATCCCCTGCAAATGGCGCGCGCCCCATTCCAAACAACGACGACCGCGGCGACGACGACGACCACGACGACGACCACGACGATATGCGCTCTCGCTTCGCCGCCAGCCACGCTTGGCCGCGTCTCGGTCTGGGCCGTCCTTTCTCCCTTCAGTAAGGAGAAGCCCACGGGGCGGCGCTTCCCCCCTGCGGGAGAGGGACGTGCCAGGGGAGACAAAGCCACCCTTCCCCTGGGGACACTGCTGTCACCCCCAGACACGGGCATTCAGGAACCAAGCCGCCCGTCAGGGCTATTTGTTGCTTGGGTCGCTCGTTCGGCCCAGGGTCCAATTGAAAAACCAGCATGTTTTGAATCAGTTCTCGTTCTTCCGCTTTTTTGTTGCTAATTCTTTTTGTTGTTGACCTTGCTTCCGAGACCAGGCAACTTGTGGAGATTTCTCTTGATGTGCGCGCAGCGTGCCAGGTCGAACCAGGGGCGTTGCAAGAGCGTCGCGGAAACCAGGGCCACACCTTGCAATTTGCGAGGACATCTCAGGCGAAGCCGGGCCCAAATTAGGCAACACCAAACAAATTGCGAGGACGTCGCAAGCAACACCGCGCCCAAAAATTTAGCAAATTGTGAGGGCGTTTCAAGCAAAACCGGGCCCAAACCAGACCAAACCAAGCACAGTGTGAGGACGTCTCAGGCAAAACCAGGCCCAAACCAGGCCAATCCAGGGGCCAAATCAAACAAATTCGGAGGATGTCTCAGGCGGCTTGCGCCGCCCAACCAAGCCAAACCAGGCCAAATCAGGCCCAAACCAGGCAGATTTTGAGGACGTCCCAAGCAGAATCGCCCAAACCAGGCTCCACCCACTCTCCTGAATTCAAGGAGTGGATCACCCCAGGCCCCCGCCCTGGGCGCGAGCCCGTTTAGAATTTTATGAGGGGCGCGTTTGGACCACATGTCTGGTGAGGCGGACGGGGTTGCGTGCGGAAGGTTTCCTTCGTCTTCCGGTTGTTCTTGGGGCTTTGGTGTGGCGTAAGGAGACATGTTTCCGAGTTGGTAGGAGGCCTCTAGATTTGGAGGCTCTCCGGGAGCCCCGAAGGTGCGTTGGCGAACTCGTCCTCCCACCCTCGGGGGGGGCTTCATTATGGGAGTTGTGGTCCTTGCCCCCTTCGGCACCCCTCTCGAGACACCTCGAGCTCCCCTTCCGCTCGACATGTTCAGCCTGGTCTCGTCTGTCTCCCAGGTGTTTGATCACGGCCCCCTTGCCGATCGCAGCTGTCCAGCTTTCGCGCAGAAGACGGCCAGAGCCCGCCAAAGACGGACGACGTCCGCCGCAAAGGCCGACAAGTAGCGGGGATTTTGTGACAGAGCGCGCAATACCTCGGCTCAAGCCTGGTTCGGCCCGTCTCCACCTGCTTCAACGCGGATGCGGCATGGACGGAGAAGGGGCTGCAAGGGGCTGAGCTCAGCAGCGCGCACAAGGGAGTGGCGAGGAGGAGGAGGAGGAGGAGGAGGAGGAGGCGGAGGAGGAGGAGGCGGAGGAGGAGGAGGAGGAGGAGGAGGAGGAGAAGGAGCGAGGTGGAGGAGGAGGAGGAGGAGGAGGGGGAGGGGAGGGGAGGGGGAGGGGGAGAGGGACGAGAGGGAGTAGGAGGAGGAGGAAGAGGAGGAGGAGGAGGAGGAGGAGGAGGAGGAGGAGGAGGAGGAGGAGGAGGAGCCGCAGCAGCAGCAGCAGCAGCAGCAGGAGCATGAGCAGGAGCAGGACCAGGGAGGAATGAGAGCAGGACTCCTGCACGAGAGGGCAGGGGATGCCTGTTGGTAGCCCTCGCGCCCTCAGGAAGCTTTCTCGGAAGCCTTCTCCTCCTCCTCATCCTCCGAGGCACGTGATGCGGTCTTATCAGTTCAATCGGTGTGCGGTGGGACGGAGTTCTTATACGCAGAGTGAGATCATTATTCCACCGTCTTTGGCGTGCCCGATTTGCATTTACTTGGCTCAAGATTTGCACTCGCTGCAACGGCACATTCAAACACACTGCTCTCTGCCGCCTCCCCAACTTGCACGGCGCAGACTGCGCCATGGAGCTGGACCTCGGCGCGCTGCTTCAGGGACACAAGGCAAAAGCGGGCGGCCCTGCAGACGGCGGACCTCCAGACAAAAAGGGGCGGATCGCATCAATGGCAGACGACGCAGACGAAGATCTGGCAAAAGTGGAAGGGGCGTTGAAGGCAAAGGACGTACAACAGGCCCTGAACATACTCTTGAACATGGCTTGCCAACACGCTCAGCAGCTGAGAGACATGGCGGCCTCGGAGTGGATCTCGGTGGTCTCGCCAGTGGAGAGCAGCCCCGTCGTCCCGGCCAAACAAGCAGGCAAGCAGTACGCCGAAGTCACAGCGATCCAGGAGCTCAAGGCGAATGTGGGCCATCCTCATTTGTACATCGCGCGCGCCGCGTTCAAATCATTGAAGGAGGACGAGCAGGTGAAGACGCTCCTGGAGCCGTCGCAGGTGCTGAGCGCCTTTTACGACAAGTGTTTCTCGGTGGCATCGCAGGAGGAATTGGGATTGGTCATTCGTCACTTCAGGGTACGCAAATGTTACAACGAGAAGTTCTGCCGCATCCAGTTCAGCATTGCGGACGGCTTTCAGGTACCGCTGGGAGAGGGTCAGCCTGGGGTGTCGAAGCTGCTCTTGGAGCGGGCGTTGGTCAAGGCGCTGGTTCACCTCGGCGGTCGACTCTAGTTGGGCACGGCACCAGCCGGCCAATTGGAGATGATGGCCCAGAAGCTGCCGGATCGGTCCAAACCCAAGGGAGGCAAGAGTCGTGGCAGTGCAGACTAGGAGCACTACGTGAAAGGATTCGTCAAGAGGAGTTGAGTTCTCGGTCAGTGAAGGCATCTACATATTTGGAATCCTAGACAGCAACCTCATCGGCTAGGCCCTGTCAGAACGCCCCCCCTTGTGGGGTACACGTCGCCACTGTCCTGATGTGCCTTCCAGGGGGCTTGGGTTGGATTTTGATCGCCCTTGCCCGCCTTATGCGTTGGCACGCGGGTCAGGTTTTGCTGCCTCGAAGCTTTCGGGCCGAGCCGCAACTCACTACATATCGAAGTATCTGGGGGTTGGGATATGGATGTCCCAATTTTGGGACTTCTACTGCGCCCGTGTCTCGGGCGACCTCCACCTCTCATCCCCGTCTGATGAGCTGAAGCCCGCCTCGCCGCACTTCGAGGCACCGCCCAGCCGCTGCCCTCCTTCTCTTCTCCTCCTCTGAGGATGTCTTCAGGGCAGCTTTTGAACTGTGAGCACACTCCCCCCTCCGTTGCGGCTGGCTTGCTCTCCTCCTGCTTTGTCCTCGCCCCTTCCCGCGTTCGTGCTCTTCCTCCCTGTCGCCTCTCTTGCCCCGTCGTTCCTCTCGCGCCTGTCGCTGCTTGCCTGCTGGGGGGGTGGGCTCGAAGTCGGGAGGGCTCGGGTGCTCCAGGGGCCTGCCTGGGGCCCGCCGCCCTGGAGGCATCGGTTCCTGCGGAACCCGAGAGGTTTTCGCCTCCCGCTCGCACGGGTAGATCTCTTTGCGATCGGTCTCGCACTCGTTCGACTGCTAGGCTGCACGGTGCGCTTTACCCTACCTCGAACCCGTACGCCGTACTCGCTCGATCGACTGTCAGAGGTGCTTTGTTGCAGACTACGGTTAGCATCATCAGCAGGCATGAGACATCAGACATACAGCGCAATGCCGAATCTTCTTCTTCTCCTTCTTCTTCTTCTTCTTCTTCTTCTTCTTCTTCTTCCTCCTCCTCCTCCTCCTCCTCCTCCTCCTCCTTCTCTTCTTCCCCCACACTTACGTACACAATATGAATACTACTCTCCCCTGGTTACGTCCGGGAAATGGCGGGCCCCCCTCCGCGCGCGTTTTTTTCTTTTCACAGGATTCCCAGGAAACGAGTTTTCGCTTGTTTTTGTTAAATTGATGTTCTCGCTGAGGCGCTGGCTTCATTTTCGGGCCACCGCTCGTTCCAAATTGTGTTCCCGCTGCAACGCTGGCTTCATTTCCGCGCTTCCGTTGTTCCGAACCGTGCGCCCTCTGCAGCGCTGGCCTCATTTCTGCGCTACCGCTCGTTTCGAATCGTGCTCCCGCTGCAGCGTTGGCGTCATTATTTATACTGCCATGACGGGTCATTATTTATAGTGCCATACCACGGCATGGTTTCGGTCCTTCCAACTACTCCGACGGGACGAAAATTTAGTCCCAGTTGCGTTTTCCAGTGGAGTTCCTTCGCGCCGGCGCGGCATAATTTTCCATGCGTCAAACAATAAGCGGAATAATAAAGACCTTGAAATAAACAGCTAGTACTGATCAGTCTCAGTGGAAGGATGTTTTTTTTTCGCCGCGGCCGCGCAAACGTTGCCATTTGTCGTCTTGGTGTAGGAGTCTACGGGGGAAGGGGGGCCATCGCAAGTCTTACAGCGGTCTCGCCTTCATTCGCCGCGGCAAGATACATGGGCCAAGCCAGTGCCGCGGCGGTGTAGGCCCCAAAATTTAGGAAATCGCCCCCGAAGAAACCGTCGGACGTGATTTAACAGTCGGTGCCGATTCGTTGATTTTTTGGCCGCTGAAGCCCTCCCCCCACTTTGGGCCGTCGCCACGCCATGCTTTGTCATGCTACTCGTTGATCTTCAGCACCATGCTATGCCATATAGAGCCATACCATGCGACGACATCTGATTGTGCGAATGGAGAAGAGATCTAGGCCATGGTAAAGGATTGGACGGAAGGGTAGACCGTCAGATATGACGCGAGCGCACCTGGCTTGTCCTCCTCTCCGTCCCCCTTCCCTTCTCCCATCCTCCACCTCCTCCTCCTCCTCTTCCTCCCCTCCTCACTCACTCACTCACTCACTCACTCACTCACGCACTCACTCACTCACCCCATGCCGCACGCCGCGGTGTCCAGCACCTCCACAGCGCGGCCGCGCCGCTGCGTGGCGCGACTCCGCGCCCGCCGAACCGCAAGAGGGCGGGGCACCAAGGGACCCCGCAGGAGAGGGGAGAAGGCTCCAAGGCCCTGGGGGGAGGGAGGGCGGGGACCCAGGGCCCAAAACACCCACGAACACGCCCAAAAGGGGCCGAGGCCGGGCCCACCGCCAGAGAGGGGGGTGACGCGTCCGAGGGCGCGAGGGAAGAGAGGCGGGGGGGGGGGCAAGGGCCCACGAGGGGGGGGGAGGGGCCTCGAGGGCCAAGGGAAGGGAAGGTGGCGCAAGGCTTGAGTCTACGCTCCACGCCGCGCCACCGCCCACATAGCCAGCTGCCGCCTGCTGCCAGCCAGCCTGAAGGTTGGGCGGTGGCGAGGCGTGGGCAGCATCTCGCCGCCGTCCTCTGTGGGGCGTGCGGCCACCGACCCCCAGCCCCCCCAGGGAAAAAAACCACGGGAGGGCTCCAGTGGTTCCTGAGGCCAGTGAAGGGAGAAGGGGGGGCTGAGGGTTACGGTCGGGAGCAATCTGGGCCGCAGCTCTGGCCCGAAGGGCCTCGTGCGCGGCGCGGTCGCCCGCTCAGCCGACCTCGCGTGCTGGGGCTGCCGCGGCATCCGGGGCAACGCGAGGTGCGTCGCGATGCCCAGCACCCGCGGGTTCGCCACCCCGGCGGCCACCAGCGCCCGCGGCACCACGGAGGAGCTCGCTCAGCTCTCGCTCCATTGTGGTTTGGTGGCGTAAGTCCAGGCCACTGGCCGTATGCGACGCACCGAGAGCTGGGAATGTATGCAATGTTTTCGGGTGCGGACGGTCTGCGCGGTATGGTGGCAGGATCTGGGCGCACGGAATGTTCATTTTGGCGGCCATCTCCGTAAAGTCGATGGCAACCCGCAGCTCGGCATTGTTTGTGGAGGTTGTTTGCATCTTCGCCTGGGTCAGGTGCCGTGCTCCCCACGGCGTCGTCATCTCCAGCAGGGTATTCTCGGTATTTGGCTCCGTGGTACATGTCGAGCTCCTCGGTTCAACCACGATGGCGCTGCACTGCTTCGCTGTATGATACCATCGGGACCTTGCATGGAGCCCGTCGCGCAGGCCCAGATCTTCGTCATGAAAGACAGTCTCCAATAGTATGTAGTTGTCGCCCGCGTTGTCCCGAAGCTCCTTCTTCAGCGTCTGGTCCTTCTCGCTTTCGCCGTTGATCACTCAGACGATACCGCCCCCGCCCAGGGTATCCACGCTGGCCGCCAGGAGACGCGTCGAGCCGCTGCCCTGTTCAGCTGTTGTACCTCTTCGCGTTGCAGGGGGAATTGCTGCAGCGCCATCTGCGGCCTCTTGCGCACGACGTTGGGCGATTATGTGTGGAGGTTGTTTGCGCTGTAGTTATTCGACAGGGCGTTGGAATAGCGATTTCCTATCCGCGTCATCATCGGTGTGCGCTCGCCTCCTGGCGGGCTGCAGTATTTTGTCTTCTCTCCATCCTCTGCTCTTCAGGTCCTTGATGGTCTTCGCGTCCTCGTCCATAAGCCTTTGCGCGTCGGCGCGGTCCATCGGGTCACGCTGCGCAATGTAGGCGTGAAGGCGCCCCGTGCTGCGGCGGCGCAGGTGTCGGGCGAGTCGCGCCCGATTGTGGGGTTCAGTGTCGCGGCGTTCGCATCGAGATCCGACCGCGTAGAATTGGGCGTCTCCTGTGGGGGGCGCTCCTTGGCGCGGCGCCTCTTGAGGGGCGCCTCCGTCGAGAAGGTAACACCGCGGTCGTGGCAGACATAGTGCGTCACGTCGCGGCGCTGGTCTTGCTGGGAATCGGGCGGGTCGCTTGCGCGGCCGTCGCCGCGCCCTTCTACGCGCGATCGTTTCCATAGTTGGTGCTTGCAGTCATCGATCCACGCTTGTTTTATGCTCCTCCCATGCTCTCCTGATTAGCATGGGCATCTCCTTGGCCCCCGCCTTGCAGTAGTCGATCCAATCCTTGACGTTGTCGCTTGACGGTGGGCCCACCCGTGTGATCGCATAACCATTTGAAAAGCGTCTCGGAAGCGTTGCGCACGACGTTGTTGAAATGTCGTGGTCTGCGCGCCGTGGCTGTCGCGTCGAGCCTGCTCGCTCCGCGGCGACGTAGACTTGGTCGGTCACGTGCTTTGCTACCCGATTGCGGCAGTGGATTCCAGCTGCTGCGCGATATCCTTTTCACGTGTGTTGCTTTCAATTTCTTCCGGTCAGCCGCCGTCATTCAGCGCCAGAGCTCCGCTTGGTATGCGAGCCCGTCGTTGGTCATGGCATCGGCGAAGTTGATGCCTTTTCTTGCCGGCAGGACGTCGTCCTTGAACCCGGTCCACAGCACGGGGCCCAGCGCGTTCTTGCGGGCAACGACGCGACGTTGTTTTTCGGGGCCCCATGGGCCCTCGGCGGTGATGGCGGTGCCCACGTGCTGGTATTCACGTGCGGCGTCGATCTCCATGCCCCATGCGTTGACGGTCAGTTTGGTCGGCTTCTCGTAGAGGTGCAGCTTCGCTTGTCTGGCCTCGGGGCCGTTGATGCACGCGAGGGCCGCTGTCTTATTCTTCCCACAGTTGAGCTCCATTGCGCGCGTGCGAAAGCTTTCGCGCGCTTGGTCCGCCAGGCGCTTGGTGCGACCCAGGGCGCCGGTACT